TTGTACATAGTATATAGATTGATTGATTTCATCATGTACTCAGCTTTAAAATTGGCACATTACATGTGATTGTGCAACTGAAATCTAGAATTAAAATTAAAGAGAAATTTAAAAATATTTCTTTAAAAATAGATTAAAATCTTACAGAATGGTTTCATAAGACACTTTTATTATAAAAGCAATAGTATATAGTTTTCACCAGAGGAAAACACACAATTTGTTTTACATATAATGTAATACTGATAATTGTCAAGATCTTTGTATCTTTGTACAGAGAAAGCAAAGTTTAAAAGTGTCATATATTAGGATATTATCATGTATTATGGTTAAGCCAGATACAAGTAATCTCCTTCGATTATATCAGTATTTTTAAATCAAAATATTTACTTTCCTGAGTGAATAATGTGAGTAGAAAACTCACATTATGTATCATATAGTCTGGAAGATAACAGAACACATGTTTATTTATGACTACAAACAGGAAAATAATATAAATATCACTATATATTCGTAATATATATGTTATTAGGTGTTATATAAGCATATAATTCATAAACTTATATATTCACTATATCACTATATATTCATAATATATGTGTTATTAGGTGTTATATAAGCATATAATTCATAAACTTTATATATTTAATATTTGTATTGAATACAGGATATGTATTTGTTCATGCAGGTAAAAATGTATAAGGCAAGGACAGTATTTAGCACAATGGCCCCTTTGGCACCACGCATGTGCAGGCCTGAAAGGTTTGCTTCATGGTTGGTACGGAGTCATCCCCTGTCAAGAACCACACAGGTGATGCTTACTGAACCAATCAGAAAGTACAACAGCCGTGTAGCCACAGAACCTTTCCTCAATGGCAGCTCTAGTTCTTATGTGGAAGAAATGTATAATGCATGGCTACAAGATCCCCATAGTGTACATGTGGTTAGTAATAAATTCATACAATACATTATTATTATTGAAATAATCATTAAGAATAACTTTTTATTAATTTGATTACTTTTAATTATTGTAGTCTTGGGACTCATTCTTCCGTAGTAGCACTGCTGGAGCTGCACCAGGTCTTGCATATCAGGCTCCTCCTTCTCTTGCCCCAAGTCATAATCAAGTACCATTAGGAGCACTATTACCACTTGGTGGTGGGTCTCAATTGAGCCAAATACCTGTTAATGAAAAGATAATTGATGATCACCTGGCTGTGCAAGCTATTATTCGTTCTTACCAGGTATGTTAATTTTACTATATGCATTTAAAAAGAAACTGTAGTTGTTTCAACAAAATATTATGTTTTTAAGCACTTTGAATTTATGAAATGTATGCTATAAAATTTATTTGCTAAATCTTTGTAAGAGCATTCATTTTATTTTTTACTTTGCACAAAATATTAAATTTAAGTAAAACTATATGATGTTTTATGGCTTTATCTTAAATCAAAGCTTATAGATATACTTATTTTATCAAACCCCCCCCCCCCCAAAATAAAGTATTAATATTTCGATTGTAACTCAATTATTATTTGATCTTAAACCATTTTAGCATGTGTTCTAGAAACATTGTATGTATGTTTTATGTTAAAGGGCAACTTTTACTATCATATTGCATGTGAGATTAAGCAGGAGTTTCTTTTCAATTTCCATGTTCTAATTTGCGTCATTTTTTTAGTATCACACTTCTGCTCATTAATTTCTTTGATATATTACTTTTATAATTGGCAAATGAAAAGAATAGTAAAACATGAAATTTAGGACATAAGAAATTGATATTGAAACTATTTCATTAGGGGCTGTCATGTATTTCATGAAATAATTCATTGTCGCGTGCTGTTATTAAAAAAATAAATATTTCAAGAACAAATTACGAATGTCAGATCATACTCAAGTATTGCATAATGGCCTCATTTCATTAGATGCTCATTGTATCTATTACCTTTAGCATGTTTTATTATAATTAAGTATTTCCTAGTTTATGTGTTAGACATTTATAATTTGAAATGTGCATTGCAAATTTTGTTGTTGTTAAGTTAATCTTACAAGGAGAGGGCACGGTCGACGGGAAACGGATTTTCCTATAACTTGCAGTATTTGAAGATGTCGTCTCCAAATTTAATTTGGCAAAGCAGTAGCTCGTGCTTCTCGATATTTTCCGAGAAAATTGCAATTGAAAATCGCTTTACTTGTTTATAAGGAGTTTGTGTTAACGAATAAACAACAAGCCTAGTAGCCGAGGACGTAGCGTGAAATACTGATAATCAGTAGGTGCTGGGTTCGAGCCTTCGGTATTCGATATTTTTTTTTTCTTTCAATCGATACCTACCTCAATTTTAAGCGTAAAATTTATGAAATCTGCGCCAATGAACAGTTATTTTTATTTTTTAAATAGAAAATGCATGTTTTTTATTTGTGGGCTTTGGGAAAAAATCGAACATAAAAATAATACAGAGTGTTATATTTACTTTATTATTGCACATTCTCTTTATTAATATGAGACACATGCTCGTGTCATACTAGCATGTAATTAAGCAAATATAACATTCTGTATTATTTTTATGTTCGATTTTTTCCCAAAGCCCACAAATAAAAAACATGCATTTTCTATTTAAAAAATAAAAATAACTGTTCATTGGCGCAGATTTCATAAATTTTACGCTTAAAATTGAGGTAGGTATCGATTGAAAGAAAAAAAAAATATCGAATACCGAAGGCTCGAACCCAGCACCTACTGATTATCAGTATTTCACGCTACGTCCTCGGCTACTAGGCTTGTTGTTTATTCGTTAACACAAACTCCTTATAAACAAGTAAAGCGATTTTCAATTGCAATTTTCTCGGAAAATATCGAGAAGCACGAGCTACTGCTTTGCCAAATTAAATTTGGAGACGACATCTTCAAATACTGCAAGTTTTAGAAAAATCCGTTTCCCGTCGACCGTGCCCTCTCCTTGTTAGTGTATATCTTCTAAAAGAAAAGAAAAAAAGAAGAAAAATGAGAGAGAAACAAATAGAGGAACAATAAAAGCTTAAGGTAATAATAAAAGGCAATTGATTTTCAGAAAATAGACTGAAATGATATTTTTATTAACATAAGTGAAATTATATATTGACAATATAATGTTTTCATATTTTATGTTTTATACAGTACTTGATACTATCTTAAGGAATTCCAGTACATATTTTTATATAAGTTTAATGACATACAGGCTAAAAATATTGACATGCAATAGTAATACTTAAATTATTTAGGGGTGGTTATACTTTTGATAGCAATATTGTATCTCTATAATGTAGTAATGTATGGTAGTTAAAGAAATAGAAAAACTGATATACATTGGGGTTCTTTTGGAATTATTCATTGGCATATAGGCTCGAGGTCACTTAGTTGCTGATCTGGACCCACTGGGTATCATGCAATCAGACCTGGTACACACACATTATGCAGCCCGCAAGGGGTCTCCAGAACAGGTTCTGCGGCAATATATGCTTGGTAAGGCTTCTTCCCAAACCGACTCCTTAAACAATTACTTTAGTTCTCATGTGTATTATAAGGTAAAGGTGTGTCATGAAAATTTAGAAAGTAACATTCTAAATCTGACAGTAAAGTATATCTGTTTTATTATCTTTGCCAAAATTCATAAGAATATTAATACTTCAATATTACTAAAGCTTTCTTAAAACACCTTTACTCAATATGTGTCATATTTCACCTCATACATGAAAATATCATGGTTTCTATCATACACATTAACTTCTTTTTAACTAATTTCACGTTTTCCTTTTTCTGATCTATTGCTCTTCTACAGTATATAATAAGCAAATATTTATTCTCATTAATTTTCAAGACAAAAAGATTAAAATTTTTATTTTCCAAATTTTTCTTTAATGTATTATATCGTAAAAGGAATCATTTGTAATTAATTAGTTTACAGTGTTTAAGATATAAAAATAAATGAAATCATTTTTTTAAGAAAGAAGAATGAGAAAAAAATTGTGTATATTAAAAATTCTGAGAAGGTGTTATGTGAATGTAAATCCATGATAATTTTTACTGATACTGAAAATGTTTTCTTTAGGAAAGATTGGAATGTTTATTGGTTTATATTTATATTTGTGGTCTGTATTGATATTATATTAAATGTATCAAAGGAAATGTGTAAATAATGTTTGCATTTTGCTATTCTGTAATCACTGTACTAACATTTATAATGTACTTTCCAATAATATGTATAAGTAAATTGTCTAAGGTAAGAAACTGTATATGAAAATCACTGCTTTGCATGCTTGCAAATAATATTCTTAGCTTTGCTTTACTATTTGGAATGTTTGTTTCTGGAACAACTTACCATTTAACTAACCTATGTCATATTAAAACTATTATTTAAAATTTTCATATTAACAAAAATTAATTTTTACAATATGTTGTTTGCTTTCAATTACTGTGATATGATATTTTCAAAAGCAGTTTCTTTTTTTTTCTTTTAGTGCATACATCAATGAATATTATTGGGTGTAGAAAAAAATTCTGTGCAATTAATTTTGCAGTCTATAACATTATCTGAAATTCAAAAATTTCCTCACCGTTTAAGGTGTTTACTACGTTGATATTCATTTCTTTAAAATAACGTGTCATTTGTCATTTTGTTTGTGACATAACTTAGAAAACAGTCGTGCATACGATGACTGTCAATAAAGTGTATCGTAAAAAAACATCTTTGAAGCTGCTAAAACGGTTCGTTCCGCTCATGGTGACAACGCTGCAATTCACACTATGTGTAAAATATAGTATCAGCTATTTTGCAAGGAATATTTTAAATATGTTCTAAGAAGTTTGAAAGTCGGGATTTGCAAGAATTATTGAATGAAAATCCAGCGCACGTTCAGAAAGAGCTTGTGCAGCAACTCGGAATCGACGAAAACAACTTTATATCAATGTCATTTGATGAATTTAAATGATAATAAGAGAAAAGGAGACCATGAGGTCAAGGACGTTGCATGAGAATGCTCGGCCGTATGTTGTTCAACTGGGAAATTCTTTCACACCTGGCGTATTCGTCAGATTTGGCTTCATCTGACTACCATTTGTTTAGATCATTACAACATCAACTTACTGATTGACAGACTTCAATACAGTAGATTCGAAAATCTATCGATAACCTTAACACATCGAAACTATCAAGTTTTTATCGCAATAGAATCCGTATGTTGATGTGAAGTTTGAATTTTATCGAAAAAGGTATAGAGCTCTTTTCTACACCTAATAAAATAAATATCAATCACAGTAATTGTTTTTAATGTATGTATTGAGTTGATAAGTTTGAAGAACTAAAAACTACTTGGTTCGTATGAATGTGGCGTTAAATTGACAGATCCGTGGCCATCATATCGCTAAATTGGATCCACTTGGCATCAACAGCGCTGATCTGGATGATAGACATCCACAAGAGTTGCTCTATAATCATTATGCCTTCGGTAAGCCTAAATGAACGTGTCTCTGTATAAATCAAAGGGATAAAGATACCGCGTGACGCATTTTAAGTGAGGTATTTTAATGTATTCAAAACAATATCAAGAATTTAACTTTTTGCAACTTTAGCAATGTTTGTCTTTATTATTTCTTTAACACATTTTTACTTTAAAAATGTTTCTGTAATGCATTACTTTTTTCATCACAATGTAAAACTTAATGTTATTATCATACTTATTGTTTGGATTATTATGATTCATATTCAATCATACTTTCTTCCTGGACACAAAGTACAGCATTTTAATTGCAAGAAAAATCTTGAACTTCAGTAACTTTATAAAGATAATTGTTTAGAATCAGTAAAAAATATGAATGTTAAATAAAGTTGAAATACATTTAAGGACAAAGGTTCACTATAGCACATATACAAAAAGATTTTGTTCAGTAATTTAATTATTTAGTTCGTCTAATGTCCACAGGGAACAGAGAACATACTACTACTTACTCGCAGGAATTACAATACAGAGTAGCTGCACTTACGAAAAGTATGTAAAAATCATAATTCAAATGGAAGTCCCACTTAAAGCTCTTTGTGAATTATTAGTATTTTCGGGAGGCGCTGGTTCATTATGGGATTACATAAAAATTGATGTTGTAGACAAGTTGTGAAGGTGCTTGGGTCCTTTGTATGAATATTTATTTCAAAAATTGCTGTATTTTGCTGTAAACATGTTTGTGCCAGGAATACGTTTGAAACATTTCTTTTGGAAGAATTAGAGGAAGTATAATAAATAAGTAGTGTCATTACCATGGTACCTTGTGCATGATAATGTAACAAAATATGTACAGTTACTTTTATAAAGAACACTTTTTGCAAAAGTTGTTCTAAACTTCCTCTTCAACTTCCTATTCATTTATTAAATGTTCTTTGTATAATTTATTTGTTCTTTGTTTATAATATTCGTTATACATTTTAACGTTATTTTGTAAATTTTTATTACTTTGATTACACAATTTACAAAATGAAAGACACAAAGATACAAAAATTCTACCATACTATTGTATCTGTTATACTTCTTCATAACTATTCTAGCATTGTTGGCAGTTGTTTGTACTAATAATGCTTTTTTCAAATTTACAAATTTGCATTTAAAATCTTTTTCAGTTTTCCATTTATTTCTTTTACAAATATGGTGGAGAAGGTTTGTTATAATCTTGCCTATTGAGTTTTTGAGGTACTGTGCATGTATATATCACGTGTTAAATATTCTGCGTATGTCACGAGTAATACTATTAAAAAAATTATTTGCGTATTTGTATAATGCAAATATACGAAATATCGCTTTATTTGTATATATAATATATATTGTATATATTATTTATATAAATGAATGTGCATATATTTTCTACAACAAGTAACCCCTTTTTATCATCATGAGTTTGTATGTAATTAAATATCAGAACATTCATAATTGTTAAAAAAAGAGAAAAGCAGATGGCTTTTTCATCTATTTGAAACTGAACTTTATAGACAATTGTTATCGTCTTAAATTTGTGGCGTTTGCATTTCATTATTTTGATATTGTTTTAAAATGCTAGACCATTTTACTGTTCGATTTCTACAGAGGAGTCAGATATGGACCGTATTTTCAAGTTGCCGTCCACCACTTTTATCGGCGGTAAAGAAAAATCATTGCCGCTTCGTGAAATCTTGAAAAGATTAGAAAATGCTTATTGCGGTCATATCGGCGTGGAATTCATGTTTATCAACTCTTTGGAACAGTGCAATTGGATTCGGCAGAAAATGGAAACACCTGGCATTATGGAAGTTACGAACGACGAAAGAAGACTTATTTTGGCTAGATTAACTCGTGCAACTGGGTACTTAAAACACCAAATTTATAAAACATTCGTATGTTAAGTCAGTAACAACAAGTTTGATGTTGTCTTTTATACATTTGTTATAGATTTGAAGCATTCCTTGCACGTAAATGGTCATCCGAGAAGAGGTTTGGTTTGGAAGGGTGTGAAATTTTAATTCCTGCTATGAAGCAGGTAATTGATAAATCTACCGAATTAGGCGTCGAATCTGTTGTTATGGGAATGCCTCATCGTGGCCGTCTAAATGTTCTTGCAAACGTTTGCCGTAAACCTTTAAGTCAAATATTCACACAATTTGCCGCTCTCGAAGCAGCTGATGATGTAAGCAAATTATAGATATTATATGAAGATTTATTTTCTTTTCTTGTACGTGTATTTAATTTGTTGTTAACTACTTAGGGTTCTGGCGATGTTAAATATCATTTAGGAACATATATTGAACGTTTAAATCGAGTAACGAACAAAAACATTCGTCTCGCTGTTGTGGCAAATCCATCTCATTTGGAAGCTGTCGATTCTGTAGTACAAGGCAAAACCCGTGCAGAACAATTCTATCGCGGTGATGGCGAAGGCAAGAAGGTATGATATAAAAAATAGTTTAAATTATTTATGAAATTTTGTTATATTCTCGAAATTGTATTTATACAACAGGTCATGTCTATTCTTCTGCACGGTGACGCTGCATTTTGTGGACAGGGTATTGTTTTTGAAACAATGCACTTGTCAGATTTGCCGGATTATACAACTCACGGCACTATTCATATTGTGGTGAACAATCAAATTGGATTTACTACAGATCCTCGACATTCTCGATCCTCGCCATACTGTACTGGTAAGTTTTTCATCGTGAATATCAAACGTAATGTTTTTATACTCTTTTAAAGTTAATTTCTTTTAAAATAACGATTGGTTTTTGTTTAAAGATGTTGCAAGGGTAGTGAACGCACCTATTTTCCACGTTAATTCTGACGATCCTGTGGCAGTGATGCATGTTTGTAAAGTTGCTGCTGAGTGGAGAGCAACTTTCCATAAAGATGTTGTAATTGATATTGTATCGTATAGGCGAAATGGCCACAATGAGATCGATGAACCTATGTTTACGCAACCTTTGATGTACCGTAAAATCAAAAACACTCCACCAGTTTTAGACAAGTATGCTAAAAGTCTTATTGATGACTGCGTTGTCACCGCTGAAGAAGTTAAGGTACCGAAATAAAAAAGGATCTTGTAATTGATTGTATGTACGTACGTATGTACGGAATTTTTATAATCATGTTATCGTAGGATGTCAAAGATAAATATGAGAAAATCTGTGAAGAAGCGTATACCAATGCTAGGCAAGAAACACATATTAAGTACAAGGACTGGTTAGATTCTCCATGGTCTGGTTTCTTTGAAGGAAAAGACCCTTTGAAGGTATCTCCTACTGGTATCAAAGAAGACACACTCATTCATATTGGAAAAAAATTCTCGTCGCCACCACCTAACGCGGCTGAGTTTGTAGTTCATAAAGGTAAAGACCTTTGTAATCATCGATTGATCTTAGTTGCATAACGCTTATAAAAGACACGATTTTAGTAATTTGAAATTAACAAACTGCCATATACCCGTTTCAGGTATTGAACGTATTTTGAAATCTCGTATGGAAATGATAGAAGCTCGAACAGTTGATTGGGCTCTTGGAGAAGCTATGGCTTTTGGTTCCTTGCTTAAAGAGGGTATTCATGTTAGATTATCGGGTCAAGATGTAGAAAGAGGAACTTTCTCACACAGACATCATGTGCTCCACCATCAAACCGTGGATAAGGCTACTTACAGACCATTGTGTTATCTTTATCCAGATCAAGCTCCATATACCGTGTGCAATAGCTCTCTGTCGGAATTTGGTGTACTTGGTAATGTCATAGAATGTCTTAGACCCGTCTAATATATATATATATACATTTTATAAATTATAACTAACAAATTGGTTCGCTTCTTTTTTCGTTAAATTTACAGGATTTGAATTGGGTTATTCTATGACAAATCCTAATGCATTAGTGTGCTGGGAGGCACAGTTTGGTGATTTTAATAATACAGCACAGTGTATAATCGATCAGTTTATTAGCAGCGGTCAAGCTAAATGGGTGCGCCAATCTGGTCTTGTTATGTTACAACCTCATGGTCTTGAGGGAATGGTAAGTTTATTTTAAACGTAGCTTCTTCGATGTATGATTAACTCTATGATTACTCTTTATAGGGACCTGAACATTCAAGTGCTCGCTTGGAACGTTTTCTGCAAATGTCTGCTGATGACCCTGATTATTTCCCTCCCGAAAGTGAAGAATTCGCTGTGCGCCAATTGCATGATATCAACTGGATTGTAGCTAATTGTAGTACACCAGCGAATTATTTCCATATTTTAAGGAGGCAGATTGCATTACCTTTCAGGAAACCTTTGATTTTAATGACGCCGAAGTCACTGCTTCGTCATCCAGAAGCGAAATCCAGTTTCGACTTGATGTTGGAAAATACGGAGTTCCTTAGAGTGATACCAGAAGAAGGTGTAGCTTCTCAAAATCCTAGCAATGTTAAAAGAGTGCTTTTCTGTTCCGGTAAGGTTTACTACGAACTGAAGAAAGCACGTGCGGAAAAGAAATTAGATGATAAAGTCGCTATTGCCAGGGTAGAACAGGTAATACTTATTACTAAGTTCCGAGTTTCCTGTATACCTTTATTTTATCAATGAAATCTATTTAATCCTCATTGGACTGTTTCCTTTATAGATTTCGCCGTTCCCATACGATTTAGTTAAAAAGGAAGCTGCTAAGTATCCCAATGCAGAATTGGCATGGGCTCAAGAGGAACACAAAAATCAAGGTGCATGGACGTATGTTCAGCCTAGATTCCACACAGCTCTTAATGGAACTCGTACAGTATCGTGAGTGTCAAATTTGCTATCAAATTAAAACTTATTCTTTGCAAATTTTATAACTTTAACTCATGTATTATACATTGTTCGTATTTCGAGTCCGTCCGTGTTGTGAAATCAACTATATAGTTTTATTTGAAAGATACATATTGCAAACTTACTAATACGCACGTCCTATATAGTTTTTGGCTGTCCAATTTCTTTTTTATATGTTTAGCTGTTCACATGGCCCAAGTTTTTTTTCACTTTTTCACAGTTTCGTATTTACAATACAATATGTGCAAACATATCACAAATATGCAATATATATACGCACAAAATGCATTAGCATTGAAACATCGTTAATTACTTTTTACGCGGTTTTGCTAAGCAAAGAAAAAACTTGGGCCATGTTACAGCAGCGGAAATTCGTCGTACAAGGGTGAGGGTAGCGGAGGGTGGTTTAGTAATTGGTTTTCATCAACTAAACCAACAACTGTGTCCGAGCCGTTGCCTGTAGAATCTGATAAGCCCAAACAGAGAACTTTGAGGTAATGTTGGCTACAGTATTTGATTAGGATATCCGTTATAGTTTTATCCATCCTACTGTTGTTTTAATACTGATATACATTGTGAGGTGCAACTGTAAAAGGATGTAAATTTGTATCGTAAAATTAATGTTTATCCATAAATGTAACTTTTTGTTTCAGGTATGTCGGTCGACCAACGGCAGCTTCACCCGCAACAGGAAGTAAAATGCAACATCTCAAAGAGCTAAAACAGTTGCTCGATGAGTCCTTTGACGTTTAATTACCCTTCGTAGCACTATGTAGAACACATATTTTATTTATTTTCTCGCATTATATTTGTTATACTCCTTTTGTCCTGCTCTACATACACCCTTTCGGAGATTAACATAATTTGAAATAGTTTTACTTCATTACTGATTCATTTATAGAATGAATACGCGAATATTTTCTCAATAGTGAAAGATTTATTTAACAGTGCTCTACTTGCTGTTACATTATTGATCTTCTTTCGTTTAAAATTTACTTTTCACGATACAGTGGTCCTATCGTGAAATTTAAGCAATTGAACAATCTAATTACTTGTTTCGAGAGTCAAAGAATAAGTAATAAGAAAGATTTTCTAATAATATTTAATTTTTCACTCTAATGCAAATAAATATGTTCGCAATGAGTAATCCATGTAAATGTATGCATTTCATTCTTATTTAATGTTTGAATGCGATTCTGTATATTTCTTTTTCTTTTTAGTATGTGACATATATTTATGTTAGTATGTGAGTTGAGTGTTGAGCTCGGTGTATGTTTGAGTTTACAGGAACATTTTATTATGTAAATATATCAAAAGTATGAAAATTATATTAGCACAAAACTTTTCAACATGCTTTACTCATTGCTCAACTGAAAAAATTTAAAGAAATTGAATTATCGTTACACCGATTGAAAATATTCGCGCGTTGACATTTGTACTTTATCTTGTTAATATATCGATAAACTGACTTTACGAAACGAATAAGATTAAAAAGAAAGTATTATTTTTAATTTATACAATACTTTACGCGGAGCGTAAATGTTATCGATAGTTACGACTGTGGAGATTTGAAAGAAACTTTCTGAGGCTAGTGATGCGTGTCTACGGCAATTTTTTTATTCGTTTATTTATACCGTGTCAAAAGGCAGCCAATTGATTTAATTTTTTATCATCGTTCTATTTTTATAAAAAATTAAATGATTGGTAGGAGGACGGGTAGAATTATGTGAAAGGGTAGGTCGTAGCGTTCGACTCGACTGCGTAACGTACTTGCGAAAATATAGGTTTACATAAAGTTAGTAGGAAAAATAAAACGTTCGACGAGGTCGAGTCGTAATGTTACTTAGTATACTAGTAAATATCTGAAGAAAAACAAATGAAACAATACTAAAATATTACTTTACCTGAGTCAATGGTGTGATGCGTTGACTACTGCATAGTCTGCGAAGGCACAGTATTTATATTCTATGTATGAATTATTTTGAAAACGGATTTTATGAATGGAATATTTGACGTACCGTGTCACTGATTGGAAAATATTGTATCAAATTCGATTGGAAACATTTTTAGTTGATAAATTTCTAAAGGGTAAACGTTTTATCGGCTGATTTGTAATAATTTGTGCTCCTCATATTATGAAACAATAGTATACGATATTTTGTAATTTGCTAGAATATCATAGATGCAGTATGGTCCAATGCAAACTACGGTACTATTCTACTCATCATTTCTTGTTACTATGTGCATAATAGTGGCGATACAAGCATGTATACTTTAATAATAAAAATTGGTAGGTCAGAATTGCTAATGAAAATAAATTGAAGTTTACTTAGTGTACATGTATCGATATCGTGGTAAATATTGTAGTACTTTATTAAATTAAATTACGTTAGCCATTAGTTTGGAATCCATCGAAGATTTTTTTTCCCCCTTTAAATAACGTTTGATGCTCGTTGTTTTCAATACAGTCTAGTTTTTACTTTTATTTTTCATTAATCCATACAATAGGGACGAGACAAAATAACACTCATAGTTTTATTATATATGATACACACTTATTAAGGTTTATTTAATTGCATGATTTTGTCAGAATTTGCGGCATGGCGTATGTGTATACATATATATACAGTATATATTTATAGTATATTTCCTGTCGCATACAAGATTTTCAGAAAGGTTTGTGAATTATACAAGTATTAATATTGAGTGCTCTGCTTCTTTAACAAT